ACAATTTGATTTTAGTAATTACCTAGAATATGAAAATTATTTGTACTTTTTTCAATATATAATGCATAACCAGATCCACTTTTTTTCAAACTTTTATAAACTAGTAGATTTTAATTTCACTATTTAAAAAAGATTTTACAATAATTTTTTATCAACAAAATTTACCTTTAATTGCTTTTCTTTTATGATATATGCTTGTCCAATAAATTACAACATTTAGTGTGATTCTTTTCAAAGTGTGTACCAAAAATCTTTTCATGATGAAGGCAGATTGTTAAAATTTTGTCATCTGTTTTTTTGTTACTGTGAATAGTAACAAAAAAACCCTATCCCCCCTCCCCCCTCCCCAAAAAGCTGTCATTTAAGCATTTGAGTTGACACATTGAGCAAGTTTTGAACTAACGTTGGCAAATTGCATATATTGAGGACCTTTTTTTTTTTTTATTTGGTGTTTCTAGTTGGCAAAAAATATATACACCCCTTCCCCCTATAGAAGACCTCTTCGGGACGGCCCTGGTAATTCTTATTTAATAAAACAACTTGCTGTTAACATTTTATAATTAGTAAATATTAAATAAAATAATGATAAAAGTTGAAAAACTTCTTTTTTATTGATGTAATGTTATGACGTGATGTTTTTTTTCTGTTGGAAGTTAATTAAACAACTTGCTGTTACCATTTTAGCATTAAAATATATTAATCTTTTTTAATTAAAATTTTAAATTATACAAAATAAAGTTCTGTTAAAATCATTTTTTTAGATTGTTTTTAATCTTATATATGCAAATCAAAACTCTTATTTCATTAACTTTCTTAAAACATTTTAAGAAAAATCATAATAAAGATACTTAACAATCTCAAGACTCCGATCAAAAAAGTGGGGCACATCCCTCCAGCCTTCTCCTTTAGTATCTTGGGCCCATTTTTATTTTTAAAATGCACGTTTATTGACACTACCTAAATACCAAAATTTTCATCGCTTGTCTGAAAGGTAGTGAAAAATGAACGGCATGATTCCGTTACAAAATAGTGGGGCCTATGCCCCGTTATCCATGTATTGAAATCCATATACTTGCAGATCAAAATCCTTGTGTTTTCTGAAAGATCATTAAGTATAGAATAATGTGTACAATTTTTTTTATTTTATATATTATCAAGGCCACATGGTTTTTGTTTTTTATATCATAAGGCCACATGGCTTTCTTGAGCATCAAAATATAAAAAATTGCCTAAATTTATTTAAAATAATAATTACAGGTACTTAAATATTTTTTTTTACATTTCTGATTATTTTATTGCATTCTTCAACCCTAAAAATAGCTAGGTACAAATTTTCAAGTCAAAAGATCAAATATTTTTAAAGTGACTTGGAACCGTTAAACAAAGGTCACATTTCTAAGGGGACAAGAGGGGCCTGACCAAAATCAGTTAAAAGTAAAATGAACATATTTCATGATCCTCTTGGAGCAAGAAGCTAAAATTTTTAAGGATTTTTTGTTTTTTTATGTATTCTCAACAGTATAAAAATTAGCAAAATATGAGATATGTGGTGACATGGCCTTTGAAATTGAAATTTGAAATTGTGATTTCCTACTTTTATTGTCAGATAGAAAAAAAAACACAAATGATTTTTTTTCCAGTGGTTTTAACTCAGAGCCATGTTTTAAATAAAACCTCACATAACCATCAATTAGTGACCATGAGTCTGAATTATTTACTAAAAAGTTAATTGTTTTAAGTTTGTCTTGAATAATTTTACGCCTGCCTTACAGTTGTGTTGCATTGATAAGTTTAACACTTCGATGCAAGTATTAAACAAAATATTATATCTTACATTTTTTCTTTTATTAATACTTCTATCATTACTCTCATATCAGTGCCTCTGAAAGGGGAAAGGTGGCAAAAGAGACAGTATCAAAGTAGATATCAAAGGGACGTTGAATGAAAATAAAAGTAATTATTGAAAAAAAAAAATTCCTTTATCTATTATATAGGAAAATTTTGCTTGTGTTTTTTCAAATAGCCTCCTTTTAAGTAGTCTCCTCGACTGTAGTGGCCCCGTCGTTCCTTAAGGAGGCGAATAATTAAAAAAAAAAAAAATCTGCTTTTAGTAAAGTAAATTTTGTTCAAAGGAAAGAAAGAAGTAGCTTTTCATTAAAAAATTTACATTAGTTTTAAAGAGTGCAAAGAGAAGCCCTATATATAATCAACTAATTGTGATGAATTAAATAAATTACAAAGTAAAAAAATCTAAATTAATTTTTTTTTTACTTTCCAATAGAAAGTGATTGGAAAGTAAAGAAAAGTAGGGTCATTTTTAATTGTTAGTTGTATAATAATTTTAAGTTAATGCAAAAACCTAAAGAAAGTGAATATTTTTTAAATACTTTCCATTTTCTGAAAATTGAAAAGTGATTGAGTTCTATTTCCACTTCACAAGTGATTGAAATCTATTTCCACTTCCCGGAAAGTTGAAAAGTTTTATTTTTTTGTCTTTAAAAAATAAAGAATAATTATAAAAATATTATCTAATATAAAATTTAATTTACGAGCACTTTCCAAGTTATAGGAAACTACATTCTGAAACTGGTTAGAAAGCGAAATCGAACAACCCTATACTACTAATTTATGTATCTATTTAACTTTATTTTGGATTTTTTACATTTTTTTCTAAAATTTTATTGTTTACAACAACTTAAATTGTTTTTAAATTTATATATGTTGCTTATATTGTTTATAGTTAAGCTTATGTAAAAAAGTCTCTCTATATATGCTACTTTATTGTTACGTATACTTTACAAAGTATTCGTCAATTAATTTGTTTATTAATATTTTTAAGGTTCCGATTGTAAAATCTTAGTTATTTTTTTTCGGAAACCTAGTATACACTTTTTTCACTCTTTGTATAAATAATTTAATTTGTGAAATAGTTTTAATTGCTTATTTTTTTTTTAAACGAATAATTTTGTAAACTAAAAAAAAAAAATTTCATAACTAAACTTTCTAATCAAAACTTTTTAATAATGAAACGAACGTTCATGATAATGAAATTTTTTTTTGATTATTTAAATCAAAAAAAATTAAAAAGTAAACACTACACGATTTCTGAATGTGTTCAACTTCTTCAATTTGATAAAAGCAAGTTTTAATTTTTAATGTTAATATTAGAAGTCCTAAGAAAAATTTCAAAAATTTTAAAAATGTTTTTTGTTGATTTTAAATACTCCTCTAAAGAAATTTACATTACGGTTGCTTGGTGAAAAACGAAAAATCAAATTTACAATTGGAATAACTACGTTTCAATTCATCAAATACGAGATTTTAAAATGATGGAGGCATGAATATTTATGTTCACAATTCTATCAACTTTCTTTTACTTACTCTCGAGTCGTTCAGTAAAAAAGAGGAGGATGGTAATTTAAAAATAGAATGGTAATTTAAAAATAATGGTATGGATGTAATTTGAAAATAATGGTATAGATGTAATTTAAAAATAATGGTATGGATGGTAATTTAAAAATAAAAACAATAATTTTTTTTTAGTTTCAATATATTATTTTTAAGTCGCTAATATTTCGCGACGTTAGAATTATCTTGTGCTATCTCCAATTTTTGAAAAAATTGAGATTTTATTATTTTCGAATATTTTAGCATTGTGTTGTTCTACTTTAATTATATTGAAAAAAAATGAAACTTTTAACACGGTATTGCATGCAATATTGCATTGTTCTATCTCCTTAATGAGTAAACTTGAAAATATTATCTTGTTCTATCTCCAATCAACCAATCATATTACAATTACAAAGTTGTTCGGAATAATTTTATTAGTTTTGTTGTTTTCAAAATGGCAACTGCAAATATTGACCAAGAAATGGAACCTGCCCTAAATCAAAACGAAGGTAGTTTTTCAACTTAATTTGTATTATAATTTTGGAAAAGTAGAATTCGACTTTCGCTTGTGTCATTTTAGATTAAATTTAAAAGTTATTATTTATACATCCTGTATAATAAAAAATTAATATTTTAATCGTTAGAGCTGCTTGGCATTACACCTTCTCGTCGGTCGCCCCACGGTGGGGTTTCTAGGAAACGTAAAGCTGATAGGAGTAGTTGGAAACAAAGTGTAAAAAAGATCCAACGTCAGTCGGGTAAAGCTTATAAAAATACGAAAGGAGAACAAATGCCAAAAAGATCTATTGTTGTAGGTACGTGCGTATCTGGCTATTTACGGCACCGATTTGTAAGTAAAAAACTGTGACCGTTTTTTTCACAGCGTGCTCGAAGTCGGTGTGGTAAGGATGTATTTATTAGTCTTTTTTTTTAGAATTTTATATCAGCTTAGACTTTTTTTGAAAAGTAGAATGTTTTAGGTTGTATAAATTATGTTTTTTTTCCAAAAGTATTAAGTTTTTCAGTGATTTTATTGCTCTTTAAAATTTTGTTCGTGTTCTGGAAGTGCATTGATATTGAAGGCATGTTGCTACACATTTAAAATTTTCCAGTCAGCTGTGTAAATCTATTTTCTATGTTCCTGCCAAATTTCATTAAAAAATATTCATGCACAGACACCCTATTTTACCACCTAGTTGAGGTACATTTTCCACCTTTTTTACAACTACTGTTACTGTTACACTTTATTAAACTGTTTCTGTTAATGTTACTGTTACTTCTTGATATAAATTCCGTTGTTTTTTTTACATTTACTAGTGATTTTTATTAGATTTTCAAATTTCGTTTCTGTTCTGGAGGTACATTAATATTGAAGGCATGTTGCTACACTTTTAAAATTTTCCAGTAAGCAGTATAAATCTATTTTCTATGTGCCTGCTAAATTTCATTAAAAAATATTCATGCGCAGACACCCTATTTTTCTGTACAGTGGAGGTATGTGTTTCCACTTCGGTTTAGGCGGGGAGAGGGGGCGTAATTTGATGGTGAGCATTTGGTATATTAGATTGTTTATTCATAATAATGAAATATATAGATAGTTTTCATTAAAAAGGTATACAATTTTTTTTTTCAATAGCCTTTTATTAGTAATAAATGGCTATTGAAAAAAAAAAGTTGTTAGTAATAGTATTACTAACACTATTGTTGTTAGTAATAATATTACTAACACTATTGATGATTTCACACACCAAAATTAGTTTCAAGGCTAAATTCTGTTAAATCTAATTTAAAATGCTGAAATAAAAATTATGACACTTTTTTATGGTGATTCAGAATAAAATGCAAAATAATGATAACAAACAAAAACAGCATTTTCTCAATTTTTTTCTGTACCCATAATTTACCATATAACCACCAACCAGCATTATTTATGATATATAAAAATTATATATATCTATAATTTTTTATTGATCAAAGGCAATTTATTAGTTAGTTAATTGTGATTGATTGCTGACCCAATTAAATAGTAATTAGATATTAATAATGATTAAATTACAATTAAAGTAGTGTTATGATCGTTGAATTTAATTTAGTGCATCATGGGACCTAAAAAGAAAACAAATCTATTTTATGGTAAAGCTAAATCTTATTTAGTTTGTAATTTTCCAATACCAGCTCATTTAAATATGGGCTGTAGAAATGGACATGTACTGCATATATTGGCAACTAACAATGATTCATACCAAGTAACTGTAGAACTAATCAGTAAGTATTTTAACATCAATATTTCTCCCAATCAGATTCTGCAACTAGTTAGAAAATCAAAAGTCTTTGTAAAAGTTTTTTCACGAAATTCAAAACAATTTATTGACATCTGCAACATGCTCTTTGAATACCAACCAACAACATCTGCTGTGACTCAAACATCACAGTTAATCACAACCTCTAATCACATTGCTACGTGTTCTTCATTTTTTTCTCAGCAAATCACTGTTTCGTCTCTATCAAATAGTGACTCTTCTCAAGAATCAATATCCAGGTTGAGAGCTGACCAGGTTAGTCCCAGGAAAAAGATTATGAGAAAGAGATTAACCATTTTGGAAAACGAAATCGCAGTTAAAAAGAAAAAACATAAAGAAGATCTTAAAGGTTTAAGAGAAAAGGCAAAGGCTAGACCATACAGATTAAAATATCTAAATCAAGTTATTGCACGTAAGGAAAAGATAATTCATCAACTTAGAAAAAAATTAAAAGAAAATTTTTTAAATATACAGTTAAAAAAACTTCAAAATCAAATTTTTTATTTAAAACAACAGTTAACATTCACCGAAACCAAGTTTTTTAATCAAAAGACAATGTTATCCCAACAACTTGCTGACAAAAATTCTGCAATTCTTGTACTTCAAAATGACATACTGGTTTTACAGGAAAAGTTAGAAGATATTCAGCAAGTAACACAAAACACCAAAAATGAAAAATGCTACTCAGCAGATATCAGAACACTTATATATGACATGCTTGTGTGCCAAGTTCCTACACATAGTGTGCCATCTCTGCTCCATAAAATTGGAGAACATACTGGCTATCAATTTAGTCAAATTCCACATCGGACAACTGTAGAACAAATGATGCGTGAGCTTGGTGTTCTTTCAGACTTACAGACTGCTGAGATAGCATTTACAACGAAAGATCTGACACTTGGTTTTGATGCAACAACCCAGGAGGGTGTTCATGTAAATGCTGTGCACTTAACAACCGAATCAGTATGTATGGTTGTAGCTATTGATCAACTTCCTGGAGGTACAGCTTATGACTATCAGAGTCATATTACAAAATCTGTTGATAATCTTGCTAAGTTATATAGTGACTTCTATAAGCTTAAATACACTGACGTAAGAAGCACTATTATCGGGAACATAACAAATACCATAAGTGATAGAGTTGCAACAAACCATGCAACAGTCTCAAAGTTAAACCTAGTTTGGCAGAAATCATTAAATGAACTTAACTGTCACCTTCACCCCTTGGATACAATGACAAGCTCTTGCAAGTCTTCACTTAAAGCATTAGAGACTTCAAAAGGGAAACTTTTTGGAAGAGACTGCATAGCAGCAAACATTGTTGTACAGCTGAACAAACTTCGTTACAAGGATGCTAAAGGTACCTATATAGTTTTAAAACCATTCTTTTACTTTAATATAGTGTAGTTTTGTAAATAAAATTACAAGTTAAAAATATATAAATATTATAATTATTGCATGTTTTTAATTCATATTCTCCTTGCAATTCCCGAAATGACTTTCTTTATGTTATTCATAGGCGATCCAAAGGGTTTTGTAACCTTTTTGGACCAACATGAGTTGCCCAGAGGATTGCTACCACGCTATAGAGGGAACAGACTACATATGCTTTTTCACACATGTGGTATTTTGATCCATCATTATGCCATATTGAAGATATTTCTGTGTTCTGGCTTGGCGTTATGTGGAGGTCTGCGAAATAGTTTGTTTTAAGACTTTACATCTGAAATAGGTATACCACTATTATTTACAATATTATAGGTTATAGAATGCATCTTTATAACATAGTAATGACACATGATTAACAAAGAATAAAGACAAATTTTATTTTTTGTTTCTTATTAACTAATTTACCTTAGGTATCCGTGAGTTGTGTGTTTTAGCTTTAATTGGAAAGCTACTTTCTGGCCCTTGGATGACAAAATTTTATATTGCACCAGGTACAGGACTTGACTACATATCTGGCATTCAGGTAGTAAAAGATGTTAGGAACACTCTTATTGAGAGCAGCAAGAATCCCTTATCTCTACTTAAACGAAAAACTGATTTCTTTGGTAATGATATTAAAGATGTTGTTTTTGATTCAATAATCAGCTTTTGCCCAGTAACTAATGAAATGAGTAAAGCATTAGGTGACTGTCTTAATGCTGTTATTAGCGTCATTGACAGGCAGTACAAGCGTCAGTTCGAAATGAGTTCCAATGATCTTCTTAAAGACCAGACTAAGTCAGCTAGGCTTCACAACATTGATTCAGAAGAACTTATGGGTATGTTTAGCGCTGCAAAGCACAAAGCTCCTAATGCTACTCTTTGTTTTCTTTCTTCGAAACTTCGTGCTTGCAAAAATAAAACAACTGCTCTGCTTTGTAAAAAGCCAACTGATATTCAAAACAAGTTGATATTATGGGCTATCTCTAATGCCAGGAAAAATCGATTTACAAGTATGCAATGTCATAATGAACTGAAGTTAGAACTGCTAAAACGAATGGCAGATAAAATTCAGAAAAGGGAGGACAAAGACCGCAGAAAGGTAGAAAAAATATTAAAAAGTTGCATGCCCGATCAGGTAAAAGAAATGTTTCCTGACCTAGAAAATAACGAGGCCTCAGATATTGAAGAAATTCTTATTGGAGCTGCTATTGGAAGAAGTATTTGCCACATGTGGTTTGATAATGCCAATAACACCCATGAGGTATATTACGGCAGAATTGTTAGCATTAAAAAGAAGAACAATGATATATATATAGTTTCTTATTGGAAACCAAATGAAAATGAAGATGATGACGGTGTTGAGTATGATATGAGCAAATATCAACTTTCTGCAGACATAATAAGCGGTGATATGGTGATAACATAACAGAATTGTGTAATAATAAGGTATATTTTATTTTAAGTATTAGTATGTCTTATAAACTTGCATTAACAGATAATATTTACAGATAGTAGGTGAATTTCTTTTTTTTTTTTTAAATAAATTTTGCAATGCCTAATATATATCTAATTCCTTCCTTTTTTTGTAGTATTATGAAAAGATTTATAATTTTTAAGTAGTCGGGTAATTAAAAGAAGTTTAATTTTAGGTAGTCGGGTAGTTACCGACATCCAACAACCAGGGTTGACCTGGTTGCAACGTGCTATGGGAAACCAAAGCTCATTTACTTTTTGACATAAGCAAATTGCTTGGCTTATGACAATTAATGTTTATCATTGATGTTTATCATTATCAATGATGGCAATGCATTTTTCTATCAAGTATAACAGAGTTTCGCTTGCGTGGATTGAGAGATGTTAGTGTTCCATTACAATAAATCCCTTTAAAATTAAAATTTTTATTTATTATTTATTTAAAGTTATCCGGCCATTACTAGAGAGTAATGACCAGATAATTTTTTCTTCATTATAACTTTTAATCAAATCTTTTATATTTCAGGTTAAACAGTATTGAAGGGTCTGCTATCGATTTTTTTGTTTGGTAATGGGAAGTTTGTTGTGTATCAGGAGTTAAGTGATTTTGAATTTTTTAACTTAATAAATCATTCTTATATTTAGTAATCTCTAATGGGTTTTTTAGTTATGGTGCTAAATATCTAATGCATTTTCATTTATTTTTTATTGCAAGGTTTTAACAATAATGGCAATTTGCTACTGTGGATATTTATGTTAAAGACCTCAAGATTATATTTATTAATTCAGTAATTACAGTTAAATGTTAACTCATTATACATTAGTTAATTGTTAGCCTTAATTTTTATATTTTTTTTAATTTTATATCTGATATATTTTTTCTTATTGCAAGGTTAAACAACATGATGAAAACTACATGGTTGCTTCAGTGAATGTTGATCTTTTTCATATCAAGATTAAATCGGTTAGATCATATTTATTTAGAGGTTTTTTATGTTTATTAATGCAGTAATAACAGTTATATATTATTTATTATCCGGGACATAGGGCATCCTTATTAAATAGGTATTGCGATATAGGTATTGAGAAATTTTTACTTTATTTTAGATATCATTGGATGTGGTTTCCTTTGCGTACTAAAGAATCGACTCTTTCTATCTATGGATGTCACAGTTTTGTTTGCTTCAAAATCTAGGCTTTTTTCAAAGCCACAATTCTGTTAAAAACATTACTGAGCAAAAAAAAAATTTTTTTGTTAAAGAAGTGTGTTTTAAAATTGTTTTAGTTTTTGCGGTTTGTTGGAATTTATATATAATTAGATATATGGGGCTATGGAAGGGAAAAGGAAGGGGAGCAGTGGTGGACATCCCCCCACCCACCCCACCCATTTGTTTAGTTGGATATTTTTTTAGTAGGTTTTTAGTTAAACTATATGATGTAATTGACACGGCTTTTAAAGTGGGGAGGGGGGCCAACTCCCTAATTTAAAAATTCTAAAAAAAAGGTCCTCGAAGCAATTAGTGGGGGAGGAGGCATAGCCCCCTATGGTGTCGATGGCCATGAAAGAGGGAGGTGAGACCCCTTCCGTGAATGAATTTTTTGTTTATTTAGTTGGCAAAATATATCTTTATATCTATATCTTTCATTGAAAAAGATAAAAATAAGCATAAATAGAGAGCGAAAACACTAAGGCTTTAAATGTCTTTAAAGTTCATCTATACGCTATAGAAAACCTAGCCTTGGTACATATTTAATAACATAAATATATATAACCTTAACCATTATTATGTATAAATGTATATATATATATATATATATATATATATATATATATATATATATATATATATATATATATATATATATATATATATATATATATATATATATATATATATATATATATTGTAAGTATCGTTAAAATACACGATATTTTATTTAAAATTTTGTTATAAATTTTAATATTAGGTTTTTATCATTAAAAATATTTTTGTTATAAATTGTTAAAAAAATTTTGTTATATTAAAAACTTTTTTAAAAATGTTATAAACTCGTTTTGCACATTTCACTAAGCAAAATCATGCGCAAATTAACAATAACGTTTTACAACAAAGCTACCGTTAGCCGAACGCGAGTTTTTTACGATGGTTGCATTTTTCCTAAGCAATCCTTCATAAAAAAAAATGTTACTTAAATAAGCATAACTTTTTTTGTAATTGTTCGTTTTTCATAAAATTTTCACCATTTTAATATAAATTCAAAGCTCTTTCGAACCATATATAATACTTAAATGAATAAATGGTTTAAAATTTTTACACACGTACCTAATTGTTGCACTAAAAAATTGCAGAAATTGTAAATTTAAATGTTCTACCAATATATCTGAGATTGAGCGTCAAATAATAATTGATAACTTTTGGACCTTAGATGATGACGGAAAAAAACATTTCTATTCTAAAACTACTGAAAATCTGGAGAAAAAACGCTGTCGGATAGCTGCTGGTGACAATTCAAGAAGAAAAACATCTTATTATTATAGCTTTTTTGTTTCTAATACACAATATAGAGTGTGTAAATCATATTATCTTTCAACATTGAATATTAGCAGCCATAGAGTGTTTTACTTTCATAAGTTTAATAAATCTTTAACTAAAACATGTTAAAAAAAGGTTACTAGAAGAGTCTAAACAAGTTTTACGAGACCATATTAACCTTTTCCCAAGAATTGATGCTCATTAGAGCAGGAAAAAGACACATAAAGAATACATGGAAGGATCACTAAATATAGGTAGAATGTATGAAAATGTCTCTCCTCCAGCAAAAGAACATATGTATCGTTATATCTTTAATCACGAGTTCAATATAGAATTTCAAAAACCAAAGAAAGATTTATGTGACACATGCTATGAGTATCGCAACATTGTTAATGCAAGCAATGAACAAACAGATAGTTTTAATAAGCACATAAAATCAAGGAATGATACCAAAACTGAACGTGAAAATGATCGCCAAAATGTTGATTCTAAAACTGCAATTGTTTGTATTGACCTTGAAAATGTTTTAAATTTGCCTAGAGCTAATGTGGGAAACTTTTATTACAAACGAAAACGTTCAAATTATAACTTAACTGGTCATTGCTCGCTTAACAGGAAGGGTTATTGCATCCTTTGGCACGAAGCCATGACTGGTCGTGGAGGAAATGATCTAGCCAGTGCTGTAACATGTTTGCTTTTGAAAATCATGGCTGACCTTGACATAAATAAGTTCATACTTTGGTTCGATTCATGTGTACCACAAAACCGCAATAGTTTCATGTCAGCAGCTTTGTGTGAATTTATAATACGATACCCACAAATAAAAGTAATTGAACAGAAGTTCTGCGAGCCAGGTCATTCCAGCATTCAAGAATGTGACAACATTCATAGTCAGATTGAAAAATCTCTCTTTGCTGCAGAAATATTTAGTCCACTTGGGCTAGAAAGAGCTATTAAAAATGTAAACCGTAAAAAACCTTTCTGTGTTTACCAAATGCAATTAGGAGATGTAAAGAATTTTTCAGTTGTCGCTGGTTTGTCAAGTTATAAGTTAGTGCCTTATTCAAAGTTTAAAAATCTTGTTTATCGAAACGAACTGCCATACCATGTTTTTTTTAAAACCTCCTTTTCAGATAATTATTTACAAGCTCTTATAAATAAGTCTGTCAAGAAAGCAGCATCAACCATTGTTGCAAAACCATTAAATACCAATATACAAATGGCAGCTTGCTTTCGTGCTTCTTATCAGTCTATATCTGTTGCAAAAGCCAATGATATCATTTCCATGTATTCATACATGCCTGCTGTTGATATTGCATTTTATAAAACAATAATAAACTGAACATTTACAAAACATTAATAAAGTCAAAATATTTTTAGGGTTGTTATATGTTTAGTATAAATATAAATAACATATTTATATATATATATAATAATATAAATAATATACATATAAATAACATATTTAAATAAAATATTTATTTAGTATAAATATAAATATAAAACACATTGAAATAATATTATTTTGAAATCTTGATAAAAATTTTTGTTTAGCTTGTGTTTTTTTTGTTTGTTTTTTTGTACTTTTATATTCATTTTCCCCCACTTGTTTGGTTTGGATGGTTTTCCATAGTGACATAAAGGCCACTATGAAAGAGTTAAAGCAATGTTTCACAACCTGATGTCCTTCCTGACGTTAACTTGAGTAACAATTTTTTATTTGTAAATATTTGCAATAACTTTTAATAAAAAGTTAAACTCTATTAATGGATACACAGGCATAAGAAAAATAAAATCAAGTTCATCTTGCATGGAGTTTGTGATTAGATTAGTTGAGTTGTTGTGAATTATCAGATAGTTACATAATGTTATTTCTTTTATTATTACATTTTTTTAAACATAACTCTTTCCTATATACCTTTCATAATTTATTTTATACGTTTATATTATTATTACGCAGCCAAATTTTCCGTTTTAAATTAGACGTCTTAGTCTTGTCCAGGGCCGGCGCCTACAGGTAATTAAAGTAAATGTAAGTCGTAAGAACAGTGTCGTTAGAGGCTCTTCTAAAAGTTCTCCTAATTAGGGCCTCATTTTATTTTAAAAAACTTAATTTTTTAGGTAATACAAAAAGGGTCTTATATTTTGAAAAGGGTCCCGTTAAATTAGGGGCCCATGCTCCTTATTTAGGGGCCCATGCCCATAAATTAGGAGTGTATGGTACTGCGTAAGAATAATTAGCAGGTAGAACAAAATTTCATCAATTTCTAACATGTCGTTGTTGAAAAATGTACTTAATATGTTTAATATATATGATGTAACAACATAATATTTTTGAATTTTACTAAAAACCAAAGTTATTTTGTTCAATCTCCAAAAGACAGTGCGAAAAAAAAGGCGTTAACGTAATTTTAAAAAGTTTTTTTTATCAAAAAATTAATAATAAAACATTTTTAAATCTTAGGAAATACCTAAATTCTCAAAATATTTTTTCAATTTAGCTGCGAACAAATTCAAACTTTGACATCGATTTTCTCAGTTTGCAAAAACATGGAGATAGCACAAGATAATTCTAACGTCGCGATTTGCCAACTGCCGACTACACAAAGATCCAATTTTTCCAATTCCAATTTCACAAGAAAAACATAAAAGTTTATTATACCTGTCAAAATAACAAAACTTTCAAAAGTTAAAAAATTTGATACTGAATTTAAACAAATATTCTGAAGTTTTCTAACAGACTTTAAATTAATTACATATATATCAACTGCAAAGTGAACTGACTCGTTTATGTGTATTATCATAATGACTCCTACCTTTTTCAAACAAGTTGTTTTTTTCAGTAACAAAAATAACAAAAAAACTCTTGATTTTTTTTCGTAACATTTTCAGTCATTATGCTGCATCTTGTTTTGTTTAATTTTTCTAGAGGGTTAGACACCCTCTGTGTAACGGCCCTGCCGACGTGGTTGTTAATTTTTCTTTTTAATAGTTGTTTATTTGAAAACTTCTCTTTTTAATTCATGATTAATTAAAACTTTATTTTATTAGTCATGAAATAATTAAATAAAATCAATTTATTTATCTTTTAAATAAGCTATTGCAACACAAAAGTTATATCAAATAATTTTAAATGACGGTATATTTGAACTTTTTCCGCCAAATTTTCACAATATTTGAATACTTTTATGAAGAGAATTTCCACACAATGGCTGCAAAATGAACCGATATCGGTTTAATTTGTTATTCGATTTATTTATTTATTTATTTCGTCATTAAATGAATAATCTTTTACAATGTTTTTTTACAACATAAAAATTATAACATTAAAGTTTCGACCGGAGCTGGCAGAAGACATGATCTTATCATCCAGCCCCGTTAATATAACTAAAAAATTCAGCCGATAAAAATGAAAAAGGAAAAAAGAAACTAAAACAAAATGCGTTATTATGATCAACATGATCATCATTATCATCATCATCATCATCATCATCATCATCATCATCATCATCATCATCATCATCATCATCATCATCATCATGATCATCATCAACAGCATAAAAGAGGAAGGCTAAAGCCTGAAGATCATTATCATGATCATGATTATCAGCATTATAATCATGTTAATAAAGATCATTATCATTTTCATCATCATCATCAGGCTTTAGCCTTGATGACAAAAAAAATTCCTCTTTTATGCTGTTTCTCTAATATAAACAATCATTTTTTTTCTTAACTATTTTCTTAACTATTTTTCTTAACTCTTAAGCTTATTCATGCAATATGGCGGGGTAAAGCATAAATGGCGATGACGTTTGTCTGACGGGATAAACTAGTTATAAATGCTGATCCTCATCGAAACGCCAGTAATAATAAACGCGACTCTGAGGAGATGTTTATTACTTAATCACTACACTAATTATGTTTACACATTAGCATTAATGTTTTTTTTTTCCATTATTAGTCCTTTCATTGTTGTTAGCATATTTTTAATTTGTTGAATGGTTTTTTGTTTTACAAAATTTAATGATCATCATGATCATTTATTATGATCAACATGATCATCATTATCATCATCATCATAAACAAGAACCTTTTTAGAGCTTTTTAGAACAAGATTTTTTTTAATTCTCTATTTTATTAAATTTTTCATTTTTATTATACACGCACGCACACACTCATACGCACACGTACACACAAATATATGTCCGTTCATATATACATACAAATCAAATAAATCTGTATTACATTCCATCTACAAATTGCGTAAGATATAATAAATATTGCATTTACAAATTACGTTGTTATAGTAAAATAAAATAATATCATACATGTTCTAAGTACCATACAATATAGTTGTGATGTTGAGTCAATTTATAAGACATTAAATAACTAAGATTACCAAAAGTTGTTAATAATACGATAGTAATTGCTTTGTGTCAAAACCAAATAAGTGTTGTTTTGTTGCACGTTTAAAATGTTGAGTTGAATTTAAAGTTTTTATATTACTTGTTAAAAGCAAGTTCCATAACCGCGGCCCTCGGCAACATATCGAAAAATCAGCTTGTTTTGATAATGTTTTTGGTATAATAAAATTATTTGTTGAGTATTTAGTTTCGTATTTGTGGTTTAAAGAAAAAAAATAAGTTTGGAAAATGCTTGGTAGCATACCATTTTTAAACTTAAACATAAAAATAAGTATATTAAGAATATTTATTTCATAGACATTAGGCACTCCAATTTCTCTTAGTAGTGGTCTGGCACTAGCGTATTTATTTGCATTTAATATCAAGCGAATTGCTCGTTTTTGTATTTTGTAGATTATATTTAACTTTGAAGGATAAGTACTTGCCCAGATAATGTTGCAGTAGCTGATGTAGCTATGAATAAATGCAAAATAAATATTTTTTAAACAATTTGTGTTTAGGAGATGTTTTGTTTTATACATAATACCAATAATTTTTGATCCTTATTTTCTATTACTTTGATATGATTACTCCAGCTAAGATGTTCTTTAAGAATTACGCCTAAAAATTTGATTGAGTATTCTCGTTTAAGTTTAGTTTTATCAATTAGTAAATCAGGTAGTTTTAAGGGGAGGGTTTCAGATTTTGATAATTTTGTAAAAAAAAAAATATTTACTTTTTTCGACATTTAAGGAGAGTTTGTTAACCTTAAACCATTCGTTCAGGTTTTCAAGTTCTTGATTAACAGTGTTAAATAATAGGCTAATGTTTGTGTGGCTAAAGAACACTTGCGTATCATCGGCAAAAAGGACAAAGTTAAGTATGTTAGAAGATAAGTAGATATCGTTAATATAAACGAGGAATAATAATGGACCAAGAATTGATCCTTCTGGAACCCCACAAGTAATGTCTTCAAGTCGTGTTACAGTGTAGTTATATGATAAAGCTTGTTTCCGATTATTAAGGTAAGAGCGAAACCATTTTAAATTGTTATTTCTTATTCCATAATTATATAGTTTATAAAGAAGAATTTTGTGGTCAACAGTGTCAAACGCTTTTGAGAGATCGAGGAATACCCCAAGAGTGTATTTATTGTTGTCAAACCCATTGAAAATTTCATTAACAAGTTTGGCTACAGCGTGTTCTGTTAAATGGTGTTTTTGAAAGCCATATTGGTTATTATTTAGTAGATGGTGGTTTACTAGATAATTGTTTAGCCTATTGTGCATTATGCGCTCTAATATTTTTGAAATGCATGGCAAAATAGAAATAGGCCTGTAGTTAGAAGCAATCGAATCGTCTCCGCTTTTAAATATAGGAACAACTTTTGCTAGCTTTAGCTGGTCAGGAAACACCCCATTTTTTAAAGACAGATTACAGATATGCAGAACGTTGTAAAAAATGTCTACGATATTCAATAATATCGTAGAAATTTTTTACAACGTTCACGCTAATGTCATCTAGTCCTGGACTTTTGTTTTGTTGTAAGGTATTAAATGCATTTTTAAGCTCATCCGGAGTTATTTCAAGCTCGTTCATGACTGAGGCTTTTTTTTTTAGATACAGCTTATAACATTTTTTTCCAAAAGTTATTTTATTAGCTAGTTTTTCCCCAATTTTTATAAAATAGTTATTAAATTTCTCTGCAATATCTATTGCCTTATTGGCTACTGTATCATTTTCATCTGTTTTTAAGTATTGCGGGAACACTTTGGTAGCATTTTTTTTTTTCCTGTTACCTCTTTTATTACGCCCCATGTTTTTTTAGTGTTACCGCAATAATTTTCTAATAAATTGCAGTAATAGTTTTTTTAATTTTTCAAATAAATTTTTGTATTGTTTATATATTTTTTCGTTTTTAAAAGTCTTTTTTTTCAAAAATTTTTCATAAAGTTTTTTTTTTTTTTGAAGATTTAATAAGCCCTTTTGTCATCAAAGGACTTTTAAGGTTTTTGAGTTTTGTTAATTGCTCAAGCTTGGGAAACGCTTTTTCGTACAAAGTTGTAAAAGTATGTTTAAAAATATCGTAAGCTATGTTAGTGTCTTTGCAATTAACAACCTGATCTCAGTTTTCCATTGATAAGTTGCTTCGGAACTTTGTTATACTTTTTTCATTTATTTGCCTTTATGTTTTTGCCGTTAGAAAGTCAGAGAAAAAAATTACATCATAACGTTATAACAATTCAAAATGAATTTTACGGGGGTTGGTGGTTAAACAAATTGTGTCTACTTCTTGCCCCAGCGATCTGTATTTATGTTGAAGTATTATTTGTTTTTTATATATTTATTGGACAAAACATAAAAGCAAAAATTAAAAAACAAAACGGAATTTAATATTACTCTATTGTTAATATTTAACGATTTTAAAGTCCCACCTAAACAAAAGTGTTTAGTTTAGCAGCCATAGAAAACGTAGCTTTTATAACTTAAATTGAACTGAGAAAGCTTCTTAAACGCTGGTGAATACGGTTACAGCTTAGTGAATATTTAAAGTTTGGTGCTGAAATTACAAAAAACATTGCGTAATGCTCCGGATTTAAAGTTGTTCTGTTGATAAAGTTTTCTATTTATAGTTTTTATTTTTTCAGCAGAAAAGATGAAAAAAAAAAAAAAAAAAAAGTTCAAAAAAAATTGAAAATAATTTTTTTTGGAAAAAAAACTAAACGATAAATTAATTTTTTTTTTTTAAGAACAAGTTTGAGAACATAAAACAATGGTAACAATGGTTTCTGTTCATATTTAGTTGATATGTTTCTAATATAAGCATTATATAACAGATTCTTTTTCTATTTCGAAAACAAACCTATGATATAAACTAGCACGGTTGGCCAAAGAGACCGCCAGGTTTTATGTTGTGTCACTTAAACGAAAAATTTCTTATTTAAGAGTATTTGCTTTATAAAAATAGAATCTAGCGTTTTTAAAATCCGAAAAAAGTGCTAAGGGTCACAAATGGGGCAAAAAAGTAAATTGAGGGGCCTGATGCCCATTTGACTACTTTAGACGCCCATTACAAAATATATATAAATTAATTGAGAATATGTGTCTTATAAAAATAAAATATAAAGTTTTTAAACTATAAAAGTTGGAACAAAGTCCTAAAGATCACAAAGGACACAAAAAAATAAAATTGAGGGGCCCTACCCCCATTGAAGTATTTTAGACGACCATTGAAAGAAAAATTTGTTATTTTATGATATTTGTCTTATACAAATTGACACAAGTGTTTTACAATCGAAACAAAGAACTAAGACTCACAAATAAAACAAAAAGGTTAAATTGATGGGGCCACAAGTCCATTTAAACATTTTAGGTGCCTGTTTACAAATAAAGACTTTAAGCAATTTAAAAAAGTAAAACAAAAAAAAAATAATATTTACAATATTAATTTATATTTGTTACACAATCCAAATATACATTAATTCATTTTCCTGCACTTTAGAAAGCAACATGTCAAAGTTAAAGATAAATTAAAGTCTTCTTTCATTGAAATTTATTACAGAGGATAACAGCTGTTCTCCATGTTAAGCATGGTCTTCTGCACGTTTATAACTACTCCAGGTAGGTTTAAATTTAGAATGGATAGCCTCTCAACACTGTTCAGCAAACTTAGCTAGACCACAGTTATGGTGTTCGACAAAGGGTTAAACATGACACAGCAAGATGTGAAACGTCCAGCTTTAAAAACATTTTGTCCCTAAAGCCTGTGCAAGCTCTTGGGTAGAAAGGAAAGAATTTTTAAAAACAGTAAATGCCATTTTATACTCTGTCAAAAGAATTTGACCAAAATAGGAATCTTTTACTATTTTAAAGTCTTTCAAACACTGAATTATAGGTCTCAGTTGAGGAACCTGAGATGCTACTACTTTATCAAGTTCATCCAGGATCTTGTTAGAATTATTTCCGTCCCAACCTCTACCTTGATACCCTCTCTGATAAACACTTTTAGTTTTCAGTCAGTCATCAAATTCAGGCCAAATATCCATAAGTAGACACCCTAAAGTAGATACAACTCCAATCAAAAAATGTAATTCAGGAGGTGGTACCAAATGCGGAATTAGAGTATCTAGGCACTTCTCTAGATAGAGAATCCTCGGATGTATCACATTCATATATTGTTGCATGTTAGATTTTTTAGATTTATTATTTAGATTATTATTTTATTGAACAAAGTCCACTATTCATGTACATTACAGAAGACCTTTTTTTTCATTTACATCAAAAACATTGATTATAATTTTCAAAAAGGATCCTTCACTATCCATAGAAATTCGTACAAATGCAGAATGAACGTCTAAACCACGGTTAATCAAATCCATTGTGAAAGATGATGACTCTTGAACATACACAAGATCCTTTTTCAACAATTCCCAATTCATTGTCAAGGAAATCTATCTGAAAAGATGTATAAATAGATAAGTGTCATTATTTTGTCACATTCATATAGTGTCATTATATTGTATATAAAAATTACTAAGAAAATTTAAAGATTAATAAAAAACACAAAATAATTATATAAATTATTCAAAATCTAATTCGAATATCATTCAACTTTAAATTAGCTTCACTATTTTACAAATAATATTGTACATATATGGATGGTTACACATTGTATAAGTACATTTTGTAATGAATAAACATGTTTTGCCATAAAAAATAATAGTTATACAAATAATACACACTTGTTTGGCTAGGACATATTTTTTTTAATGGCATTTTATATATTTATATGGTTTATGGAAGAGTTAAAGCAACTTTTTTTACAACCAAATGTCTTTCCTGGTGTTAGCATGTTATGAAAATTAGGAATATATTTTACAACCACTAGGAAGATTAGTATTCAAAGTAATAAGCCAAAAAAACCTTGTCTGATCTATATAAGATCAGTTTCTATCTTACTATAGGATAAGGATGTTTTATTCACAGTGAAGGATCTCTCTCTTTTTTGCATATCATTTTATATTAAAAAATCTAACATTATAAAAGAGCAATTTTTTGATCAATATATTACTAGATATCTATAAATAATATATAAATATGGATATATTTAAAATATTTAAATTACCTTTTCTACATGATAAAAATGTGATACGGATTCCGAAAGAACATTTAACTTGCCAAAAATGTTAGTTTCTACAACAGTCTTACTCCCTATTCCTTTCCGAAGAGTAGAAATTAATTGTTTGGTCTTTTTATGAGAAAGCTCTAATACGACTTGAAGTACCTTTATAACTTGTAAGGATACTTGTTTTACTTATCTTCTATTTACCTTGTTAGAAGGACATCCAACAGTTACATCCAACAGGTTTCCCCCAGTTAGGTACGCGCATATCGTGATTTACGGAACCGATTTTTTTGCTAAAATTTTGTTACTCGTTTTTTTCACTTCTTTTTAGGCAGCGTGGGGTAAACGTAATTTTGTGATGTTTCTTTTTAGAAACATATATACACATAGATACTTTTTGGAAAGAAGAGAAGCTAATCTTTAATTTTTTAAAACTTTTATGTATGGTTACTAGACTTTTTAACAGATTATTTTGCTCCTGAATATTTGGTTGATGTTTTTACATGAATTTGCAGTCGAAGGATACTTTTTTGTTATTCAGGCAATTTTTTACATGCGTTTTCTATTTATGTGCCAAATTTCAACGAAAAATAATTGGGAGCAGATATGTTACAAGGTGCTTTATTAAATATACTGCTTTTTTTAGGTAGGGTTAGACAAACGTTTTTTGTGGTGTTTTTTTTTAGAAACATATATAAATAAAAGTTATATTTGGAAAGAAGAAAGGTTAGGCTTAATTTTTATAGTACTTTTATGTATAATCACTAAACTTTTTTATGGTTAGTTTTGCTGAAAACTTTCAAGAAAATTTCGTTGATGTTGTCACATTAATTTGTTGTCGAAGGAATGTCGTGTCCGCTTTTTTTGTTATTCAGGCAATTTTTTACATGCATTTTCTTTGCACATGCCAAATTTCAGCAAAAAATAATTGGGAGCAGATAGTTTAAGAAGTGTAGGACTTTCGGTACCTAAATTCGGTTTTTTTTGTTTTTGTTTTATCAGTAAGAGAAATACGGGGGAGGATAGGGGGGAAGCGGATTGTAAACAAAAAATTACTACAACATTGTATTATTTTAATTCCTAATATTAGATTAAAATTCAAATAAAAATGGTAAAGTTATGGAAAAGAAAACTTTAAAAAGTAAGTTAATATGTTTTTCATGATAATAATAACTTTTTTAAAAAACAAAACAATGATAAATTTAAAAACCTTAATCTTTGTTTACATGGCATGTAAACAAAGATTAAGGTTTTTTAAACTATATATACCAATGATGGTAATATATACCAATGATGGTATATTAAAAAAGATTAGGATTTAAGATTAAACTGTTACTTTGGAATATTTTATTAACATTAGTATCAGATACCAATGTTGTTAATACACCATATATATAAAAATATACAAACAACATTATTATACTTTAAAGTAAAACATTATTGGCTTAAGCCAATAACGTTTTTGACAAAGTATTTTTATAATAATAAGCTTATTTTTGTAAAAATATCAAGATACTTTTACAATAATAAGTTTATTCTTATATTTTGTTAGTGTCTTTCTAATATACAGTAATATAATTTTAAAATACAGTAATATTATTTGTTTTTAATTTTTTTTTTCATACCTTTTTCTTGTTAGTGAAGTTGTTATACGTAAAGCAGAACTGATTTAATAACTTATTTTTATTGACTGTTGACAATTTCAAGATCTGTTTTTTTGATTATACAATTTTTTTGTTATTATTTTTCCAATATGCACAGACTACAGCTGGTAAGTTATTATAGCATAACTTTTATTAACCATTAAAGAAATATAAATAAATATATGTATTTCCTACTTATTTAATTATTACTTGTTGTGTATGGATTTCCCATTTGCTGCAATTTTTTAATTTTAGTATCTATCTTTTGTGTTACACTTGGTAAGTTAAACAACTTTTTAATGTGAAATTAAAAAGTTGTTTAACTTTATTTCCTTTACAATATGTTTAACTTTATTTCCTTAGTCATGTGCTGCAACTAGTAATTTAAAAAACTATTACATTTTATGTGTATGCATTTCTCGTTATTTAAAATATTGATTTTTTGTTACAACATTGTAGTTTTAGTATCTACCTTTTGTGCTACACCTAAACAACTCTTTTTAATGTGCTCAAATTTCTCATTGATTGCAATATTGATTTTTATAATATATTTTTTACCTTTAGTTCTTTATACGTGTGGCTACGCCTGGTAAGTTTCAAAACCTTTTTTCTTTTAACATGTGTATGCATTTTTTATCAATTGCATATTCTTTTTTGCAATTGCATTTCTTATCAACTGGTTTTTAATTAAAACCATTTTTATATAAAAATTATTACTTTTTAGACTATGAATGCATTTATTACCATTTGCAATTTGTATTTTTTATTAAAACAAATTTTACTTTTAGTTCCATCTGTACCACCTTTAAACGGTAAATTTATAAATCTAGAATGTCTCTGATTTTTTATTGAGTTCCTCTTATTCCTATTTATATCATCTATTTAATACTTTTGTGTTTTGTTATCTCTCCAAGTGCTATAAAAGGAGAATCAGAAGCTTATACATGTTTGAGTTTTTATTCTGATTAACTTTTATTAAAAATTTCATTGATTCATTAATCATTCTTTATATATATTCAGTCAAACTGTCTTGGTAAGTATTTATTTTAATTTTTTTAATTTTTAATTACATGAATTACAAATACATTAATATTTTATTTGTTTTTAGAGCTTACATATGAAGCTTATAGGTCATTTCGATCTTAAAACTAAAATCATTTACTAAAAGCCAAGACATAGAGTAATTACTATGTTTTAAAACATTTTATTATTTTTTTTTTTATTAGGTTGGTGGGTTAAATATGATCATTTAAATGAGAAAATGTATACTAGTGCAACTTGTAATCTGGTAAAACAATTATGTATTGTGCTTTCTCTTTTTTAATAATTGCATGTGAAAATGTTGAAAATGTCTTTTCTATGTGTTTTCTTTTTTATGTTGGTTGAGGGGAAGGGGGAAAACTATCCCTCTCCTCAAATTATGTTTTATAGTAAAAAAAATATTGCTTTATGTAATACAACAATATTTTCAATACCAATGTATGTTGTATAGTTATAAAAGATTATTTTTTGTCACGTGGGGGGAGGGGGTGCATCATACTTCCTTCATTTCAAGTCAATGTGTGCATCAATAATATATGTTGAATAGTAATAAAAGATTTTTTTTAATTTTTAACAATGCATTTAATTATTGTAATAAAGAAAAAATTATTTTTTTTTTTTATGAGTCAGGGGGGGGGCGGTGCGACATACACACCTCCCCTAAAGTTAGTGTTGTATATCACTAATGTATGTTTTATAGTAAAAAAAAATATTTTTACTTTTTAACAAAATATTAAATTACTGTAAAAAAGATTAAATTATTTATTAGAAAGTATGATTATTGTATTTAGGGTGTTATAACATTACAACCACATCTATGGTCAACTCTAAGATCACCTTATTTTGTTTGGCAGTGTTTTGGAATCAAGTTATGGCAATATTTTGTGTATAAAATATAACAATTACATTTAAAAAGTGCTTATTTCTGACAAAAACTTGTATTTTCTTAAGGGTTAGATGGTGTTTCATTACCCCCTCTGGCTCCCAAGTTACACCCTACATCCAGGCACCAAAAAGAACTTGTAGCCCATTAGTGCACCTATCTTGTGATACCAAGATATAGGTATTTGGATAAAAATTGACAAAGTTATAACAATTTAAGTGAAAAAAATAATTATTTTGACCATAGTTTCTTCAACAATTCCATATATCTAAAATTTGTTACTAAAAATGTTATAACTTTTTTTAGAATTGTTCGTTTTTAATAATTTTTTCACCTTTAAAATATGTATTAAAGGCCTTTCTAATGATGTATAACATTCTACTATATGATCAATATAAAAATTTCAGTGCACGTACCTACCCCAGTTGATAAAGAAAATGTTGTCCCTGTTAAAGTGCAGTCTGCACTCAATTTATTTTGTATTATACCTGAAGCAACTTGTTCAGCTTGAATGCTCCCTAGACTTGTGGATAGAAAAATCAAGTTTTTTACAGCAGTTGACGAAGAACAGTTGTGGTTTGTTTGAATTTCTAGTCAACATTTTCCATTCAACCTTTAAAAGTGAAATACAAAATTATATAAATATAAGTGCTTCATTACAATTTAGAATTTGCTATAAATAGTAAAGGTATATCTTTTTTAATAATGAGGTTAAAAATAAAAACACGTTATAACGTTATTTTCGTTTTTAACGTTTTTTAAATTATTATTAAAGCGTATTTTTTTAAGACTATTGATTTCTATATAGATTGTATCTATATCTAAAGAAATTAATATTAATAATCTTAAAACTTAATAGCTTAAAAAAAATTGACAGAAATACTGAGTTTAAAATATAGTTTTACATTCTACCTTTGATACTTTCTCTCCCACGAGCCTCTGGGTGTATTACCGGACTTGATCATGTAAAGATTTCTTCTACAACTGGAACAAACTACAGTTGGGTAACTGCTAATTTCCAGGGAATAACCGGGTTATATATACAGCTTCATCAAATCTTCTACTGTTGAATTTACAGGATATAAAGACAAAGACCTTGCTCCAAAAAATTTTCAGCAGCAACAACTATGTACGCGGAAATAGCGAATTACGGAACCGAATTTTGTGCTAAAATTCTGTCACTCGTTTTTTTGACTTTTTTTTTGGTAGAGTAAGGCAAACGTATTTTAAAGTAATTTCTTTATAGAAACATATATACACATAGTATATTTTTGGAAAAATAAGCAAATAGTTTAATAAGTGTAGCACTTTTGGTACTAATTTCTGTTTTTCTATTGTTGTTTTTTCGGCAAGTGAAATACGGGAGCGGCTCGGGGGGCAACTCTATAAACAAAAACAATTACATTAATTTATTTTTTTGTATTAGTTTCTCTCTGTTTAAAAAAGCATTTTAACAATTTTTGTAAAATTTTCATTAAAATTTTTTTTTCAGGAGCAGAAGGGGAGCGGCATACGCCCACTTCCATAAAAGCAATTTATACACCAATAGTCAATATTTTGAAATATATTTCAAAATATTGACTATTTAATATATTTAATAAATATGTTAAATAACATATTATTTATTAACAACACTTATTTAATATATTTAATAAATTTATTAAATAAGTGTTGAAATATATTTTTTGTTTTTTGTCATAGATTTCATTTTTAGTAAAGATTGTAATATTTAAAAAAATTAAATTTTTATAGGGTGTGTTAAACCTGCACCACAAACCAACACCAAACTTTAAGATAGACCTGTAAAATTTGCAAGTGGTGTGGAATAAATAAAAAACAACTCGTTGTATATAAATACTACCAACTTTAAAAAAAAAAAAACACTATTATGAAAAAATAGTGTAACTTTGTGAGGGGTAGGTGGTGGATTAGCACCCCCTCTGGATCCCTCGATGCGCCTTTTACCTATAAACTATAGCCCATTATTACATCTATCTTTTGATACCAAGTTATAGATATTTAAATAAGAATTCGTAAATATAACAATTTATGTGAAAATTTTTTTTTTTGACTACAGTTTTATCAAGAAATCCATATATCGAAAATTTGCTACTAAAAACGCTAACTTTTTATTGAATAGTCCGATTTTCATAATTTTTTCACCTTTAAAATACTGTATTTGAGGGCTTTCTAATGATATATAATATTATAGTATTTAATCAATTTAAAAAAATTAGTTATATTGCATTTCGTTGAAAAGAAGCAGTTGACATGCTAACACCAGCCATTTAAATTTAATGAAATCAATGTGAATTATATCCAAAAAAATGCAAACTTAATATAACACCATTAAGTTAAAATACTTAATCTCGAGAAAACTTTAATTTAAATTGCAATTTTAAAAAAAAGCTAATGCAAAATTCCTTTTACTAGATTGGCAAAAATTAGTTAAAAACAATTAAAAAAATCTTTCAGTTATGCAGCCTGGATTTTATTTTCTTATTAAAAAATTTAAAAAGTTGTGTTCTACCCTAAGTCCGTTTTCAACCGAAGCCGGGCTTGGGGTGATGTTTCACCCCGAGTGCGGTTTTTCATTGAAACTCGGGGTAGGTCAGTTTTACTTGGGGTGAGTGACTTTTTAATGCGAGTTGATATTTATAATGTCATTTCAAGCAAATTTTTAAACTTTAAAATGCAAACACTCAAGAGCGAGTGATTTTTTGAAAATATTTTATGATATATTATATAATTTATTATATTTTAACATTAGATAAGAATAAAAAAAAAATAAAAAATTAGTGTTTCGTATTAGTATATAAAAAGTTGTATATTATTGTATTGTATAATAATGTATATTAGTATTGTAATATATTACAAATAGTATTTGTATAATAATATAAACGTATTTGAAATATGTATTGGTATCATAAAGTCTATGAATGTTTTATGTCTAATTTTTGTAATCCTATGATAGGAAAATTGTTAAAATGAATCCTGAATGTTTTGAACAGCAAAAATATCAGTTTAAAAAATGGTTAAATCTTAACAACAAGTCAAACAGCTCTGTTTTATCAGAATGTGAATATACTTCCATTATCGAATATTTGAAAGATAAAAATGATGGAAAAATTGGATATATTACTTCACGGAATATTCAACAAAGAATCAAGTCAAACAAGTTTAAACTAATTGATTACCCACCCTTAGGTTTAAAAGATATTTTATGTGCTCCAACTAAATGTAATACAGAGGTAGATTTTATCTGCTATATTTACTGCATATATTTGTTTTCTATCATCAAATAATTATACTGCATTATATACTGAAAAACAAATTTATGATATTATCTTATTATAAGATATTATCATAAATTTGATAAGATATAAGATTTATATTGTGACACAAAGTCTCACCCTGTGTGCACAATTTGTGTATACATGCATTTTGTGTATGCTATTTAACTTTTATATGTCAGAATATAATAAAAGTTTGCATATATTAAAGTTAAACTTCAGTTTTTTTTAGAAAAGACATATACAGCACATTTTATGCTTTTCGTTTTATTACAGTTTTAATATAGGGTGAAACTTTGTTAGATTTTAGCTTCGATAGATAGAAACTTTAATAGATTTAAGTTTGAAGGTAAATGTGTTTACAATTATACTTTTATTAATATTATATCATGCTGTATAGTATATTTAAAGTGTTTTAAAATTGGTTTTAAAGTTTTAATAAGTAAATATCTAATTAAATTTATTTATTAATTCAGAATAATTTGCAAGAATCATCGCCATTTGGAAACTACAGTCGTGTAGCAAGTACTAAAGATGTTTTTTCTGCTATTAATATTGCACATTGCCAGAATGGTCTGCATCTTGGGGCTTTAAAAACTTATAAGAAGGTACTGATTACTTACTGATATTTTTTTTTATTTTATGTTGTGCTTTTTCTATTGTGATAGTCATGGTATATTTACTTTTTATATGCTGTGGAAATTATGATGTTGTACTAATTTTATCTACCTTCAGATAAATACTAACTACCTAAAATATTATAGTTTTCTACATTTTAAAGATTCAGTTTTAAATGTAGGGGCTTGCAGTATTTATAAATTAACTTTTCTTTTATAGATTATTGAGGGTTATGCAAACATTGCATGAAAAACTGTTGAAATTTTTATCAGTTTCTGCCCAACTTGCAATTTAAATAAATGGCAGTTAAAAAAAGCACTATTACAACCAATAATTTCTACTGGTTTTTTGCAACGTCTTTAAGTATAATCAGTTTTTTACTTTAAATTTCTTTTAAAAACCATGTTTTTTAAAATAATATACTCATTTGTTTTTTAACCATGTTTTTTTAACAAATATACTCAGTTTGTTGTTAAATATAACTTTGTTGCTTATTAGATGTTATTTTGCTATTGATAAAGTTTGACTATTTATATTATATTTATATACTAAATATACTTAGATTGATTTGATTGCAATGGAATCTAAGCCAGATAAGAAATTCAGATATATTGGTCATGTTGTTGATCATTTCAGTAAGTTTCATATTTTGTTTCCTATGAGAAATAGAATAGCTTTAGAAACAGCAAATAATCTTAAAAGGTTTGTGCTGAGTTACTTTGGTTTACCAGCAATTTTGCATAGTGACAATGGTAGTGAATTTGTAAATGATGTTATAAAATCACTTTTGTTAACATGGCCTGGGAAAACCCAAATTGTAAATGGTTCACCAAGACACTCTCAAAGTTAAGGTTTAGTTGAACAGGGCAACTTTACCATAGAGCGATTAATATCTTCTCGTGAATATGATTCTGGTCAAAGTAACAGGTCAGAATGGTTGGTTGAAATTCAATGTAAGTTTAATGTAAATTGTTGTTTTTTTTTTAATGAAAAGCTTATGCTCAAAGTTAATCAGTTTTATTGCCACTACAATGATAGAATTTTTTTTATGTAACATATTTTGTTATCATTTTGACAAACAATTTACTGTAATAATATAGGAAAAAATATTTTATTTTTTTCCCCTAAAAATCTAACTAAATTTGTATAGATGTTATGAATACTACATATGTAAGGAGCATAAAAACGACACCTTATGAGATTGTGTTTTGCAAAAACCAAATGGACAATTCCCTTTAGAGGGTAAAGTAGTAAATGAAGGTGATGTTGCAAACATAATTAAGAATCCTAATAAAGGTAAATTTAAAGATGAGTTTAATGTCAATCCTATTTCAGTGAGGTAAATGTCAATCCTATTAAAAAATCATTTTTTGCAATATAGCAGGATGAACATAAATTTCTTTTTTTTTATCTTTTTTTGTCATTTGTGTCACAAAATTGTTGATTTTATAATAAAAAACCTGGATTACTTTCTTCATTTTTATTCATTAATCAAATAAGTTATTTGAAATTCCATTTTGTGTGTGTGTGCAAGTTTCTTTTATAAAATATTGGATGGTTTATTCATTTTGACTATAAATATCTGAAATTTTTGTTATTGACTAGATGTTGCTGATGGTAGGACAACTGACACTCCAGAATGCAGCAGAACTTACAAAAGCATTGCAAAAGCGAAATGTATTATCTATTATATTAAAAATTGCTATGCATTTTAATTAGACTAGCAATTGTACATTTTGATTAGAAAAATGCCTCATGTTATTTATTTTCCAGGTGATGGAGGTAGTAACACTGCAGAATGCAGTGGAACTTCAAGTGATATTGAAGGTAACTTACTGTTTACTTTGTTATTACTTGTGGTCTTTATTATAATTGTTGTCAAACAAAAATGTTTGACAATCATTAAAACTTTCAGTTTTCATGTCTTTAATTGAATTTTTTGTTTTCAAATACTTAGAAATATTTTGTTTTCAGTATACAAAATATTTTTTGATCTTCTTTATTTCTTTATTTTTGTATCAATGTTTCTTAAGTGATAACACTTTCACTGACAGAGAAGACTGTGGTATTGTTGACTTTTCGTACCACCATGAGTCTGAAGAAGATACTAAAGATAGGATGAAGGTATAAAAAAATATTTTATGTTAGTGTTTTTCAGTTTAAAAAAATCTTTCGAATTAATTTTTTTATTCAAGTTTTTATATCAAGTTGTGTTTTTAGATAAAAAATATTTTATAATGTTAATGTTTTTCAGTTTTTTTTTTTTTTTTTTTTTTTACATTATTCACCTCCCCAAGGCCCGAGGGGGCCACTACAGTTAAAAAAAATCTTTCAAATTTATTTTTTTATTCAAGTTTTTATATCAAGTTGTGTTTTTAGATAACTTGTCCAATTCGCAAGAACCTTTGCCATGAAACAGCAAGTAATCTTGAAAAAAATGCAAAATTCATGGTTAAAAAGTATAATAAACAAAAAAAATTTAAAGTTGCAGTTTTTAAAGAAGGTGATCATGTCAGTGTGGCTATACCAAAATCATTGCGTAACTCTACAGATATGCTGCGTTTGCCATGTGTTGTTCTTCATAAGTCGTTTGGGGAAAATCCAACCTATAAGTTGGTGACATCACATGGAGTTCTTGAAAAAAGATTTAATGCCACTAACTTAATGCCATACAGCAGTATTGTCAAAGTTAAAAGTGATGCCAATGTTAGCTTAAGTGAGGCCGTCTTAAATGAAATCACTAGTAAAGTAGTCTTTTGTCGATGTAAAAAAGCCAAACCAAGCACTGTCAATGCTTTGAAAATGGAACACCATGTGTCTCATGATGTCATAAAGGAAAAACAAAAAATTGCAAAAACAACAACCCCCATTTTTCTGTACAGAGTGAAAGTAAGTCAAATGAAACCTTAGACCAATAGTTTATGAAGCTTTGAATTATTTTATTTAACACCATTAATAGAAAATTAGATTTTACTATCATCGCCTATAATGAATAGCCTATGAATATTAATAGTGCGCATAGTTACGCGTATTGTTTTATAGTTACGGTACGGTTCTGTATCTGTAAAATACACTTTTTAAGTAGTTTCTAGACTTTTCTTTACCACGTGCTTACTTACAGATTTCCCTTCAACCTTTCATGGTACGAGTTCAAAATATCTAAGTTGACATTAAGTAGATAATGTTTAGTAGCTTAAAATTATAGGTAATCTAAATTTTTTTTTAAATTTAAAAGTAATTAATTTATTGTAATCTTTTTTAAATTGTAATTTTAAATTTAAAGCTTCGTGTTATAGATTACTTTAATTCTTAATTTGTGTCTAGCGTTAAAATATATTTATGGGTAGTTTCATGCTTTCACTTAGTTTTGGTTATTGGGATAAAAGCCATGACAATATTTTGTTTTAAATTTATCTTAATTTAATTTTTATTGAAAATTTTGTTATAAATAAAATTTGTCTTTAATATTGTTAATACTTTAGCTCTTTGAAAAAAAAATATGTTTCTGGCTCTTCAATAAATATAAAATTATTTGTCTTGCATGAATGAATTTTGGTTTAGGATTTAATTGTGTTAGTTTATGTTTGTCTATCTGTAATTTATTTAGGTTATTAGAAAATTCATGTTTACAGAGTTGTTATAAATCATAATCGAGTTGTTAAACCAAGGAAATTGTGGAGGTTTATTTATCATATATACTATATATATTATATAATTATATTGGAGGGAGTAAGTTTAGAAGTCTTTTTAAATTTTTAAAAAGAAATAAAAATACTTTTCAATATATATCTGTTTTCTTTGAGGTAGAATTAAAGTTTCAGTTTTTTAAAACTTTAAATTAACTTTACAATGTTAAAATGGTTTAAACGGATTTTTGTAAATGAATTTAATCCTCAAAGATTAAATTTTTTTTATTATTGAAGAAATTAAACTAGATTTAAGAATAAGTCGACTTAAATGTTTGTTTGTTTTTCTATTTAGATAATGACAATATTGAAGCAAGTAAGTTAAAAAGCATTTTTAAATTTTTAAAAAGAAATTTTTTCTTTGTTTTCTTTGAGGTAGATTTAAAGTTTCAGTTTTTTAAAATCATATATATTTTAAAATCCTATATATAACTCATATATCTTTGTTTTTCTATTTAGACGTTGGTAATAATATGAAACAGGTAAGTTATAAAGCATTTTAAAATTTTTAAAAAGAAATAAAAATACTTTTTATTATATATCTGTTTTCTTCGAGGTAGATTTAAAATTTCAGGTTTTTAAAATCATATATATTATAAGATTTACAAATGAGTCGACTTGAATGTTTGTTTGTTTTTCTATATAGACGTTGGTGATAATATCGAAACAAGTAAGTTATAAAGCATTTTTAAATTTTTAAAAAGAAATAAAAATACTTTTCAATATATATCTGTTTTCTTCGAGGTAGATTTAAAATTTCAGGTTTTTAAAATCATATATATTATAGTATTAAATTCTTTTTTACTTTAAAAATATCTATATTATAGTTACACTGAGTCGTAGAAAAAAAATTAAAGTTTATTAATAAGGTAGTAGATTATTAAAGTAGATTAAATTGTTTGATCTATTAATCAACTTAATAACGTACTATTAATATGAAGATTTATTTTGGTTGTTTGTTTGTTAAAATTTAGTTAGAGTTTATTTAAAATTTAAATTCTTTAGTTAATCAAGAGAGATCTAATAAAGGTATTAATTACATTAGTTGAATGTGGCATTTAATATGTATTTTATCGATATAAGGAATAAAATAATAAGGAATAGAAAAATTTTTAAAATTTGCTCTGGAATTTGTCAAAAGAGTGTTGTGTTATGCTTCATTTTAAGGTATCTAAATATATATTCATTAAAAATTTTTAATTTTGTTTTTAAATGGTTTATTCTTTTTCACTACTTTAGATAAATATATACTGACTGACATAACTTCATTTTTATTAACAATGTTGTGCATTGTAGTCTGCATTCTTTGTTACATTAAAAATAATTGATGCTAATAAATGTTCTTTTATAGTTGTTAAAAGTTTGCATATATGTTTGCATTTATATTGTGATCAAAGTTAAAATTTTTTTGATAAATACGTGTATGTGGTGATACTACTCAGGTATCACCGCAGCTTATCTCTATCAGGTACATTGATTTTTAATTCACATATGATGTTTTTCTTTGTATTTACTTATTCATTACATTTTTAACTTCAGATTTATGGTGTATTTATTTGCTATAGAAGAACAAATCATTTTGAATTTTTTAAAAATATCTACACCAATCAACATTTAAAATTCAATGTAGCATATACCAGCTTCTAGGCTTTTTTGATGCTTTTCTTATTCAAGTGGTTTCATAAGCAAGGTCTACAAGCAAATTTGAGATAAAAAGTTTTTCAGCTTTCAAGGAGTATCAATGTTGTTCTCTGTATACTTTAATTTGTTTAAATAGAGTAGTTTTAGTAAATAAATGTTTGTTTGTTCTTGGTTTTTTACTTATTTGTTATCAGATTCTTAAGAATTAATCAACTTAGCAAGCAAGATTTATTTTATTTTTTAGTGCAATTGGAAAGAGCTAAAGTGCTTTTTAGTTACTTCAAATCATTTGTTTTTATTTTTTAAATAGAAGGGTTAATAATAAAAATATTTAGACAGTCGAACTGTTACTGATTTGAGTAAGTTTAATTTTTTGTTTAATTTTATATTAGATATATATTTTATGTATTTAACATGAAAAACTGACTGTAATTTTTGACAGGTAAGTTTATATACTTAAATGTGCCTATATATCGGAATATTTTATATTTCTCTGAATCTATATGAATATTATCTCAGAAAAAATTAAGAATAGAAAAAATTTGAATATATATACATACATATATATTACTTTAGACTGACATTGCTTCATTTTTTATACAAGATTCTGCATTTATTATTTTTGTGCATTAAGATTGTGCCTGAAGGCTTTCTTAATTTAGCAAAGAATTTAGAACACAATGCAAATAACTTTGCACTGTGTTCTAAATTCTTTGCTAAATTAAAATAATGTAAATAAATTTTGTTTTATATTTTTCAGTTGTAAAAATATAAAACGTTCATTTATTCAGTTGTAACAGTAGCATAACCACTGGTAATATATATTTAATGATAACAGATTTATAATATTAGGCTCGAAGAAGTTATTAGTGTAAATGGTTATAGGTGACTTGAAATTGTTGTCATATGAAAGAAATAGATCTAGGCATGATAAAATTAATTGTCGTTGAAATATAAGAAATTTTGCTTGATGAACCAAAAACTTACTTGGCAGAATTCAGTGTCAAGCGCTGTTGATGTCTATTATTTGACTTTACATTAGACACTTTAAAATAAAGCAAAGTATGAATTTTACTATTTATAGTAACAAATAATAAAAATTTCAGTTTTGAATGATTTTTTTTTTTTTTTTTTTTTTTTTTTTTTTACTTTTGTAATCTTAATATAATTGTTCATTTTTTTTTTAGTTGTCTTTGTCATTACTTGATTATTTTGCTTACTGTTGAAACATGGTTTTAATTTTGTAAATTTAATATGATGTGAAATTTACAATATTAATCATTTGTCAACAGTTAGAAGCTGGAAATAAATTAAGAAATGCTGGAAATTAACTTTTAGTTAAGGTAAAAATAATTTTGTTTATTGGTAGCATAATAAAACCAGTTACTGTTATTTATTGCATGACTTTTTTACTTTTTCTAACATGGTGTTTTTAAAACACTTCCTCTCTCTATTAGATGAGACTTAAATAAGAATTAGTATTGAGAATTGTAGAGAGAGAATTGATTGGGGGGTCGTATGGGTTGAATGGGCGGTCGTAACTAAAAACCTTTAAAAATATGGAGAATATTGTAGTTTTGCGCATTAATATCGAGTTACTTAAGTTTTATTTATGTGTTTAACTAATTAGTTAGCTTAGTCTGTGTTTGCAACACTTTTGAGGAAAGAAAGAAAACATTTTTATATAAGTAGATCATTGTTTTACATTTTAATATTTTATTTTATTCACCAGGCCACCATTAAAGCAAAAAGAGGGAAGGAACCTCTTTATTAGAGCCAAAATATTTAGAAAAATTAAATTTCGAGTTACAAAAGGAATTTTTAGTAAATGGTGGCAAATTACCGTTTACTAAAAATTTTATGAAATAAAGAGGCCAAATAAATAATATACAAATGGTCTGTGTTGAACAGACTTAACAAGACCCGGGTCGGGTCAGCTTGGTTTACAAATTTTTATGTCTACTTATCTCTTATAATTTTTATTTTAGTTTGTTCTATGGTGCATTTATGTATTAAAAAATTTGTTATACCTATGTTTGATCGTAAATTAAATTTTCTTTTGTTTGAAAGGTATTTGTACTCAGTTGCGTAGTATAATAAACTTTGTTATTTTTTATAAATTTATTTAAACGTGTGCATTTAATATTTTTAAGTTAACAATTTTCTTTTCTAAAGAACAATTAATCAAGGGGATAACAAAAAATTGATAACTCCTGTATAATATAAGTTAACTTCATTTTAATCTTAATGGTTCGTGTTATAAAAATTATTTTAAGGATTTAGTTGACACTTTCGTCAATTTAAAGTATAACCAAGTGTTATTATTTTGCGTCAGTAACTAAAAACGTATTGTGTTAAACTTAGGAAGGTCGATGAAAATGGTTCTGCCTTACACTGTTATGACCTGTGCCATTTGTAAATTACTTAATAATGTTAAGTAGTAGTTGGTAAATTATTTTACCTCCTCATAATTTTTATGTTAATTTTACAGATGGATTAATTTTTTCAAGCTGAAGGCAATTTTCTAAAAGGGTTAGTTAAGGTTTTGCATTTAGTTAAGGTTTTGCAAGATTAAATTGTGGAAAACAGCTACTATAAATTAATTATGTAACAGACCGACCAAAACCCGTATTACGGGTTGCCTTTTG